ATCAAAGAACAGAAAACTGTGCATTAAAAAGCAGAGCGCTGTACCATCAAAAACAGAAAACTGTACCATCCAAAGCAGAAAGCTGTACCGCCAAAGAAAAGAACGCTGTACCATCAAAAGCAGAAAGCTGTACCATCCAAAGCATCAAACTGTACCATCAAAAAACAGAACGCTGTACCATGAAAAGCAGAAAACTGTACCGTCGAAAGCAGAAAACTGTACCATCAAAAATCCAGAAAGCTGTACCGTCAAAAACAGAAAACTGTGCCATCAAAAACAGAAAACTGCACCATCCAAAGCAGAAAACTGTACCATCAAAAAAAGGAAAGCTGTACCATCAAAAACAGAAAACTGTGCCTTCAAAACAGAAAACTGTACCACCCAAAGCAGAAAACTGTACCATCAAAGAACAGAAAACTGTGCCATAAAAAAACAGAACGCTGTACCATCCAAAACAGAAAACTGTACCATCCAAAGCAGAAAACTGTACCATCAAAGAACAGAACGCTGTACCATCAAAAACAGAAAGCTGAACCATCCAAAGCAGAAAACCTTACCATAAAAAAACGGAACGCTGTACCATCAAGAACAGAACGCTGTGCCATCAAAAACAGAAAGCTGTACCACCCAAAGCAGAAAACGGTACCATCAAAAAACACAAACCTGTACCATCAAAAACAGAAAACTGTACCATCCAAAGCAAAAAATTGTACCATCAACAACCAGAGAAAACTGTATCATCAAAAGACAGAACGCTGTACCATCAACAACAGAAAACTGTACCATCCAAAGCAGAAAACTGTACCATCAAAAAACAGAACGCTGTACCATCAAAAACAGAAAGCTGTACCATCCAAAGCAGAAAACTGTACCATCAAAGACAGAACACTGTACCATCCAAAGCAGAAAACTGTACCATCAAAAAACAGAAAACTGTACCATCCAAAGCAGAAATGTGTACCATCCAAAGCAGAAACTGTACCATCAAAAAACAGAACGCTGTACCATCACAAACAGAAAGCTGTACCACCCAAAGCAGAAAACTGTACCGTCAAAAAACAGAACGCTGTACCATCAAAAGCAGAAAACTGTACCATCTAAAGCAGAAAACTGTACCATCAAAAAACAGAACGCTGTACCATCAGAAACAGAAAGCTGTACCATCCAAAGCAGAAAACTGCACCATCAAAAGTCAGAACGCTGTACCATCAAAAACAGAAAACTGTACCACCCAAAGCAGAAAACTGTACCATCAAAAAACAGAACGCTGTACCATTAAAAACAGAACGCTGTCCATCCAAAGCAGACAACTGTACCATCAAAAAACAGAACGCTGTACCATCAAAAACAGAAAACTGTACCATCCAAAGCAGAAAACTGTACCATCAAAAATGAGAACGCTGTACCGTCAAAGACAGAAAGCTGTACTACCCAAAGCAGAAAACTGTACCATCAAAAGTCAGAACGCTGTACCATCAAAAACAGAAAACTGTACCATGCAAAGCAGAAAACTGTACCATCAACAAACAGAACGCTGTACCATCAAAAACGGAAAACTGTACCATCCAAAGCAGAAAACTGTACCATCAAAAAGCAGAACGATGTACCATCAAAAACGAACGCTGTACCATCAAAAACAGAAAACTGTACAGTGTTCGTTTTATGATGGTACAGCAATATGCTTTTTGATGGTACAGTTTTCTGCTTTGGATGTTACAGCTTTTTGTCTTTGATGGTGCAGCGTTCTGATTTTTGATGGTACAGCTTTCTGCTTTGGATGGTACAGTTTTCTGTTTTTGATGGTACAGCATTCTGACTTTTGATGGTACAGTTTTCTGCTTTGGATGCAGAAAACTGTACCATCAAAAGTCAGAACGCTGTACCATCAAAACCAGAAAACTGTACCATCCAAAGCAGAAAGCAGTACCATCAAAAAACAGAACACCTTCAAAGACAGAAAGCTGTACCATCCAAAGCAGAAAACTGTACCATCAAAAAAGCAGAGCGCTGTACCATGAAAAAACAGAAAACTGTACCATCCAAAGCAGAAAACTGTACCACCAAGAAACAGAACGCTGTACCCTCAAAACAGAACGCTGTACCATCCAAAGCAGAAATCGGTACCATCCAAAGCAGAAAACTGTACCATCAAAAAACAGAACGCTGTACCATCAAAACCAGAAAACTGTATCATCTAAAGCAGAAAACGGTACCATCAAAAAACACAAACCTGTACCATCAAAAGCAGAAAACTGTACCATCCAAAGCAAAAAACTGTACCATCAACAACCAGAGAAAACTGTATCATCAAAAGACAGAACGCTGTACCATCAACAACAGAAAACTGTACCATCCAAAGCAGAAAACTGTACCATCAAAAAACAGACAACTGTACCATCAAAAAACAGAAAGCTGTACCATCAAAAACAGAAAACTGTACTACCATCAAAAACAGAGAACCGTACCATCAAAAACAGAAAGCTGTACCATCAAAAACAGAAAGCTGTAGCATAAAAAAACAGAACGCTGTACCATCAAAAACAGAAAACTGTACCATCCAAAGCAGAAAACTGTACCATCAAAAACACCTCCATTTGCCCATGTTCTGTGGAACTCGCAAGAACTTGGGGGAATCGATTGCACCTCTCAAGCTGCTTTGCCGTTGATCGCTGTGGACATCCGCGTATTTTGCCTGTACATACCTTCATTTTGTTTCCCTTGTTGGTTTTAAAAGGAATGTATCACTACTGCTTTTTTTTCCCCGGGGCCTCAACCAAATGGAAGCTTGTCTTGACCCTTTGCAGGTCTTGTTCCGGGGCAACATTCGTCTGCAGATGCAGAAAGGCGGGATGCTCCTTGGCGCAACGTAGAGAGTGTTGGGCAAAACCTATTTAAGCAACCATGTCTTGGTCCAATTCCTAAGGGAAACCAAACACAGGTGGTTAAATCAAGCTTGGTAACACAACTTTTCTCCAGGTGGGATGTCAAAGTCCCTTCAAATTCACGGGTCCAAGGCTCGATCCCACACAAATCAACCCAACTCAGCGGACACTTTATCACTTTTGACCCTTGAAGAGCTCCTGAGGCATGCCCCCACTGTAGGGCAAACCCCAAGCCTTGGTGTCTAGAGTTTCAACCTGGTACCTGGACAAAACTGGGAAACACAATGAGCTTCTTTGCTCAATCCAAATGCTTCCAGGTCTTCGTTGTGCTAAGTTTTCTTTGAGCCACCCTCGTCATTCCCATGGCCACTGGCACTGGTCGTCGGTGGATACCTGGTAGATGCGCCAGTGGTACACCCCGCCTCGATGAAAAGTGCGCGTCGGCGACTTCGTATGTTGGGATGTTCTTGGAAGTGGAAATAGTGACACCCCAAGCAGGGACAAAGCAGTTGTTCAGCTTTCGTTTCCCCTTCCGGTTCGTTCCCAATACCCACCGCTTGGAACCCCTGAGCACCACTGGCTGGGATTTTGGGGGTTCATTTGGAGGCCCCCGTCAGGGTCCCAATCAGGCTACCCTCGGAGGCAAGGGGAGCAACCGATGAAGAACAAAACCCAACGGACTTCATGTCCATGGACCAGTTCTCTGGCGACAGGACTTCGCGTGGCATGTGAGAGCTGTGAGGATCGTCTCAACTGAGGACTTTGGAGGTGCTGGACAAAGACCAGCCTGCCCTCAATGCGGCTGGCAGCAAGGGGAAGGTTCTGCAGAAGTGTCCCCCGCAAAAGGAGCTACCTCTGAAAGGGATGGTTTTCTGCGTTCCATGGTAGTCTGAAGGGGAGTAGTCTGTTGTTAGCAACGAGGACGCGAGACGCGAGCCACCCAACTTCACCATTCAAACCAAGGTCACCCAATGTTCCCGCTTGAACAAAGATGCGACCCGGACGCAAGACGCGAGTGAGTTACTTGTCTTCTCCCAAACATGGGAACCCAAGTGATCAAGCACAAGGCCCCTCTTTCGGCCCCTTTCAAAAAGCTCACTTTGAGAGATGCGTTGGATTTCCATCCCAACCAGTGCGGCCCAGCCGCTGGCGCCACTTGCCCTCCCACCCCCCCAAAAAGATAAGAGTGCATGTGCCGAAACCATGGTGTATTCCCAGTGTTTTCTGAGCTTCGCAGGGAGCACCCCTTCTGGAAAAAAAGGGTGGAGGTCACCAGGTCTACAGGCCCTGTGCACGGCTCTGGGCGGGTAGCCGATCCGTGGCTGATGGGATCAACGGATGGGAAAGGATGGCGTGAAGAGGTGGATGAAGGGGGGTGTCTTTTTTTTAGTGGACACTAAAAATTGGGGTTTTCCTTCTACTTTCCTCTTAAAACCAAACAGGGTTTGCGCAAAAAGAGAAGCCCCAATCACCGTCAGTTGTAAGTTTGGGTGGCGACTATGAATCACTTTGGGTTGCTCCTTGGAACCGAGGGTAGCTCTGCTAGGATCGAGGAGGGCAAAGACATTCTTTGTGGTCGCAGGTTGGATTTGCAGTCTGATTGGACATGGGTTAACGAGCGGGTTGCTAGTGAAGAAGCGTAAAATGATTACTAGCAGTTGCTCGTTGAATCTACTTGTGAATGTTTCACTTTGCGTTTTCAGTTGGATCTACTCATCAATGAATCACTGGTTGCTAGTTTTTTTCTTTTTGCCAACCATGGCGACATGTTTACTCCCGTTCATGAACCCTTTGTTTAGGGACAGATCACCCTGGATTGGTCTTGATTTGGAATGTCCCCTCCCCTTTTTGGCTTTCCTCCATTTCGCCATAGAAGGCCCTTCACATCCGGGTACTGAACCAAACCGCCTCATGGGACATTCATGTGTAATAATTCAGCCTCTATTTCAAGTGTTCAACAGTTCTTGGTCCTGAAGTCTTCGATTCGAGGCTCAGCAGTGGTGGCCCCATTTCTGTAAGAGTTCTTATTGGTTCACCAAATATTCCTGAGTCTTATTTGCAGAAAGCGGCTTACGTGGGTTGCGGTAGGTTAGAAGGACATTGCCTGGGGCAGGCCTCATGGCCGTCCCCGCAAAACCCCGTTGGAGGCTAGGACATACTTGAGGGCTTTTGTTGCAACTCTTTGGGCGGGTGCCCTCCACAAACATTGGAACCTCACAATGGGTCCTGGTTTGGACCATTTTCCTTTCAAAGGGATCCCTGGGTGCCATGTTTGTGGACTGGAGTCCCTTTGAGCTCAAAGGCAATGCCCGATGGCAGAATGATGGGTATGGCCCGTCAAAATAACGGGGGTCCGAGCCGGTTTCCTTATCGACCAAGGTGAACATGATATCCTCAGGATAAAAAGAAAACTCAACAACAAAACATACACCACACCCACACGCACATCCTCATCGTGTGGGGCATGCTGTTGGGGGGTGGGGGGTGGGGCATGCCCAAAATGTATTCCTAGTCAACCTGAAACCCAACCTAAAAACATGTACCCAGCCTCAAGCAAGGCCCCAGCAAGGAACACACACACACACACACACTTGCTCGAGTCCTGGCTCCTCTTTACATGTTTGTGTCTGCACGCTTAGTTTGCACTGTTTCGTCCCATGTCTGACCATGATTCTGAACGTTGCATAGAAATCACCCTGGAAGCCTGTATGATTGATTCAATTTGTGGCGGATCTTTTGGACATCGTGGTCTTGCATCTTTTCGACCCTCTCTTGCCAGAATCGCCATTTCTGTACCAATCGTGCATTGTCCCTGGTGAACCCTGGGGTTCAAACCGCCATTAAAACAATGGGGGGTCATACAACCACCATTGTTTTCCTAAGGGTTGTCATCATCCAAATTGGGTCAACCTTTCTTTTAATGGGGGTTGAACCCTAGAATTTAGGTTTGACCCCTCAACAGTCGAGTGCCCCCAAACTGCTTGAAACACATCCCCATATCGGGTTCCATCCCAAACCATTTTGGACCGCCCAGCAAAATCAGGGACGGCCACAATGATTGGCGTCCCTCAAGATCAGGGACTCCTTTCGTTTCCCCACGGAATCAACCAAAGCCGAAGTATCCATTGGCTTCTTGTGAATTCCCTTTACATCCTATCAGCTCAGTACTCTCGCAGGGTACCCCAGTCCCCGCAAGGATATAGGCCAGGTGAATTTTTTCAGAGGGAAGCAGGGTACGTGAGGCCAACGTTGGAGCCGCTTTCTTGGTGGACGCGTCTTCAATCTGTTGGATTCCGTCAAATGTCCGTTTGCAGCTTTTTCTCCGGTGTCATCACGATTTACGTTGAACATCAGCCAACAAGGGGTGGGTGCTGCAGGTGTCTTAACTCTTGACACGACCACCCCCACCTTCACAGACACACACACACACACATTGGTATGCATACACAGACATGTACACACACACATGACATGTACATGTACATGTGTGTGTATATATATATATGTACACACATGATATACATACACATACATACATATATATATATATGTATACATATATATATATATATATGTTAACAAACACCCGCTTGTTTTTTGGGCATTGTGTTGTGTCAGCCTTTGCTTGCTTCCTCTCCTGAGCCTCGGGTTCGACCCGACCCGCTCTGCTTCCGAGGCCTTGGGGCGGCTGAACGACATGCTGGCCATTCAGAGCAGCGCCGACGCGCAGCGCTGCAGCGCCATCACCAGGCCAAAACGCGAAGCGCGACGTGCTTGCAGTCCGAAGGAAGCGGCGGATTCAAGGAACCCCCCGGCAGAATGTGGTGGGCCCGGCAAAAAGCGGGCTCTAAGAAAGGGGGGTCCAGGTTGAGGATCGAGAGTGTAAGCATTTGAAAGGAAGGTAGTTTTTGTAGAACACTTAGGGTCACCAATTATCCATGGTGCTGGTTACCTGAATAGAAACCCTTATGGTCGCCATCCCTGGTAAGCTCAAGTAAGGCGGTCTTTTGATCATACATGTACCTGCCCTCAAAAAAGACATCTGTGTATCATGGGATTGCACACCACTGCACCCCGCAAGTGGTTTTCTCCACACCGCAAGTGGTTTTTGGATGCTGCGTTGCACACCTTGTACGGACCGGTTTCTGGGTAGGGTGATGTTTCGATGTGAGACAAATAAGGACTCTTGCCTCTCTCTCTCTCTCTCTCTCTGTTTCTTTAAACCTGGGAAATGAAGTTTAGTAGGGGACAGTCGTGACCAAACCTGGGAGCAGCCGCTCTTTCGATTGTGACTCGCTGATGCCAACTTCGGATTCAACACAAAGGACAATCATGCTGACGGTTGATGATGAATTCCAAACCACTCAACGGCACATGGCCCCTTTTGAGTGGTTGGATTCCTCAGGGGTCAATATTGCGAATCAGAGAACAACTTCCTTGACATGGACTGTTGTTCCCCCTCACTTGCAGGGGTGAAGATCTGGATTAATCGATGCCAAAATCGAGCATACTGGTCCCAGTTGTTCAGTGGCACCCTTTGCCCCTTTTTGTTTGGTGGGTTCAACACAGAAATTGATCAACGCGCTTTCCAGGGATCCCGTTCCTTTCCAGGGCCACTGGGTGTGGTGAACAGGGCAAAGTCAGGGAAGTGCAGGGAACAATGTCATGCTTGCAACTTAGCACAGTCTCAAAAATGGTTGGTGACATGGGCGTGTGTTTGTTGAGGATACCCTTTTTGTGGGTTCCCCTATTTTGACGCCAAATATCCAGGTGATCGATGTCCGCGCTGCCCAATCAAAACTCCTAGACCAAGGAAAGGGTTCTTAATGAAGACTTCCCAGACATCGGGCCAGTTGAATCCATGGTTTTCTTTTTTCCCTAATAAGGTAATCTTCCTTCCACATGGCACCTCGCACCAAGGACAGTTTCTGGGATGGGAACTAAGCCGCCTGAAGCAATGTAGCGGCTTGCTGATCATGACTGCCAATTGCTCTTCTATCACAGACCTGGGGATCCTATCCCAGAAATGGTCATTCAAAGAGGATTCTTTCTGGTGGGAGGAAGCATACAGCAGTAGCCGGGGGTGCGTTGTTTTGAGGCAGGGTGCCTTGTTTGGGTGTGGTGTTGGGGGTCCCTCTATTTGAATCATACCCATATTGTTGACAGCTCGGCCGCCAGGATGCTCATGGAGCGCTGCATTTTGAGGGAAGTAGAAGGCTCTGACCGAGCCTGGGCAGTGGTTGGGCTTGGATTGCACACCCGGTTTTGATTTTGGGGTTTTGGTATGCAAACAGTTTGGATGATCGGGTTTGAGTCAGTTACAAGGGTCTGGATAATTTGGATTGGGTGGGATGTAAAGCCAAATGGATTTATGGCAAGACAAACAAGTTCATGTAACCAACTATTAAGCCCCTCATACTAATCAAAGGTCTATGGGCCCTTGTCAAGGCCCGGATACCCTTCTTGATTCTTGTACCACAGGTTTTGGGTGGGACATGTTTATACCAGGTTTGATTGTGGACCCAGAAAGCCGTGTCCATGGTTCATCCATGGAGATGTCATGGGCAAGTTACAGTGACTCAAGAGCAACCAAAGTCGGGGTCATTTCCGGAGACACTTGCTGCTCAACAAAAAAATCCCCACTTGTAGGAATCTGCCTTCAGAAGGCTTTTGTTAGTTTGAAGGAAGCAGATGGATAATATATATATATATATATCTATATATATATATACATAGATGTATACATGGGCGGGGGGGGGGGGTCCTACCAAAAATGATATGTACACATATATATATATATATATGTATTCCATATTCTAAGCGCTAGATCTTTCATTAAGCTTTGACCGTGTGATTTCGTGAGCGAAGCATAGGAATCCTGGCGGGCGTGAAAAACCTTCTCACCAAGTACGCAGCTCGGAAGCAGCCATCAGCGTCATTTGCGGGAAGGATTGTCATGGTACCGTTGGTGCTTTTTGGTGTCGAAATAGGGGGGATTCGGCCCCCCCAAGCCGTCTTCGGATTTCCGTGTAATTGCCCCCAAACGCAAAAAAAAAGAGAAGGAGAAACCACACACTGGCCACGGATGGATTCGAGATGCATCGCCTTGAAGGCCTTGATTCGGCCCGAGGTCTGGTGCCAGGACGTTTGGGTGGAAATCATGATGCGACTCGCCACCGTGGCTTTGGTCTCTGCGCCCTGGCCGGCGTTGAGTGGGAGTCGAGAGGTGCCTGAGCATTCGGGGAGAAATGCCCACGTGCAAATGAATACGTATGTAGATAAGTAAGTAAATATATCCTCCCACCAATCAACGTGGAACCTGACAGGGGGTCCGTTTAAAAGGAACACGCCCCTATTAGGCGATATGTTAATTGGTGGGAGGGTTTTTTGTATGAAAGTGATACTCTCTCCATACACGTCATGTGTTGATAAACGTGAGGGTTGAAAGGGAATATCAAAGGCAGCCTTTGGTCCCGAATCGGGAAACTCTTTCTTGTTGAGCCATAGCCCTGGGATTCCCTTCCTAGGCCCTAAAGTCTGGGTCTGGAGTGCCCTAGCTGGTCGGTTGGTTGGCTGGGTGGGTGCTAGTTGGTTGGTTTGTTGGTTGGTTGGTTGCTTGCTTGCTTGCCTGGTTGGTTGGGATTTCTTGGGCATTGTCTCAGGCAGGGCTTGGGACTCTTTCGGTAAGGCAATGAACCTTCCCGCAAAAGCAAAGGGCCCCAACTCAAAAGGACATGGACGTCTCTTTTTTCGGCCCCAAGAAAACGTGGCCGTGACTTGCTGCAAAGAGCACTCTTGGGATCCACCTGCTCTTTTTTGTTTGGTACTCCAAACTGTGCACTGGAGGAACACTTTCGTGAACAACGTGTGGTTTTTAGCCGTCCCAGGGTCGCTAGATAGCTTGGAAGACGCGAGTGGAAGATTCGGCCAACTTGCCGGGAGACGAAGATTCCCATCCCTATGACCACTGACAACACCTTCCGAAGGCTCCTTTCGGAGAATCAGCCAACCCCTCATGTCCTGCTCCAGGTGTGGTTCGAACGTTGTACAAGGAATATGAGCTTTGAAACCGCCTGGTTTCATGGGTTTCCTGATTTTGCAGGATTTTCAGGAACCTTCGCAGGTAGTTACCGACTTCCAACGTGTCTTGTCATTGCCAGGGCTGGTCGTGAAATTTCCGGGATAGTAGCCAGACATAGTAAGGATTCCTACGGGTAACATGCCGATGGCCGACATTTTGATGGAGTTACCTGTGGAAATCAAGTTCCCTTGAGGTCTGAAGGCAGTCGAACCCCAAAGCCGGCCGGTTGGCCTCTCAGGATCCAAAGGTGTCCTTCACTGCAAGAGAGATGGTCTGGATTCGTATCTCATGCGCTTTTCGTGGCTCACATTTGGGCGTGTCGTTTTTTAGATTGGGACCCCCCAAAATTTGTGGTTTGCCTATTTGTTTTTGTTTGAAACCGCAAAAGAAGGGGTACCCTCAAAAAGACAGACCCCTCTCTCTCTCTCTCTCTGTCTGTCTCGAAGCCCCAAACTGAACCTAAACTCAAACCTGCCTGAACCTGAAGCCTCAAGGTCCTTTTGAGGCTATCCATTTTGGGGTTAACACCTTGCCGAACATCCCTTGGGTTTTCTTACTCCTCCCCCCTCCAGCCCGTCTGGCCCGATCGCGCCGGAAGATCGAGGCCGCCTCGCTGGAATCCGTGGGCTTCTCGGTGGGCATCGCGCTGGTGGTGGGCGTCATGGTGGGGACCCTGCAGCCCTACACCCAGCGCCAGGCCGGGAGCGGGCCAGCGGGCCAGCGGGAGAACCAATGGATTGGATGGATTCGACACCGACCGTTGGGCCTAAACAAATAGAGCATTCGGCTCAAGTAAGGTACTTCAAGTCTGAATTAGGTCATGACATGATCACAATGTTTTTTTTTTTTTTTTTTTTGTGTGTGTGTGTGTGTGGTTACTTTGCGACTATGAGCCACCCAAACCCCCGGGTAAGTGAGGGGACGATCCCCTTGCCACATATGGGTGATTTGTTTTCTGCCTTTGGATTCTGTTCCCATTCGTATTTTCTTGCAACTCGCGGGGCGATGCGGTGATTAATGTTGACCACCCCGGATGAATCCACCTGGCGGATTCAGAGGGGGGTGGTTTTACTACAAATGATGAACCCCCCCCACTACAAATCAAGCGGGTGTTTCTAGAAATCCGCGGTTCCCCCTGCGCGGTTGCTGACGGCATGCGACAACGGACGGCATGCTGAGGATATCCTTACGCTAAGCATTGGTCTCGATCCCCTACGAAACAACACCTTAAGCAGGCAGGGTGCAGCAGGGAAGTGGTTGGTAACCCTGGGCAAATAAACCACTTTCATCTATTATTATATGTTGCGATTCTGTGGCTGTGATCAGAGTTGCTTGCCACTTGGGTTCGGTATCCCCTGCCTCAAATAGGCTCACGTGTTCTTGTTCCTGGTTGGAGCTCCAGGCGGGTGTGAATGAGACCAGACTGTCTCCAGGTCAATGACCTGCAATGCTGCTGCTTCTTATGCGCCTCGGAAGCCGAGTCGATGGCTTCCGAGCTGTTCGTGTGGGTCCTTCCGAGGTCCGGCGTGTCTTTCTTGGTCGCCCTACACCCCGAAGAATCCTTCGTGAGGTTTACTGAGGCCTCACTAAGGTGAGGGGAAACTATGCCGGGCTCGGGCGCACGGGTGTATATCAGGAGCGTGTAGCTGAGTGCCTTGTTTGTTTCGGACTTTGGCAAGTTGTCAAACAAACTTATGCTTTGCTTCCCTGTTCATGGACATTCGCGAAAAAGGAGTCCGCTCTGGCGAGCGGAAAATAGCGCGGCAGGGCCGCCCAAAATTATGATCAACATTGCTAGAGCCAGGAACAAGCGGCAAAAGCGAGCTCACATCAACTATTGTTACAAAATCGCGGACCTCAGGACCTTGGCACTTTTGCGTCATGACGCTGACGAGCAGGTTGAAACAACTCAAATCAACTCACTTCCGACAAGTGTAAGAAGCGACCCCCCCAATTGCGCCAGATGGCCTACGAAAGCTAACCCCATCAAGGTTTTTCCGATTCGCCTTGCCGAACAGGGCGGACATCCAGGGCCTTGTTGCAATTGGCCGGCTTTTGGTGGAAAAAGAGCTGCAGAGCCGCAGAAACAACAAGGTGATCAGTTTTGGGCAGTAAACAGAGCAAGCGGCTCCGCGAAACCACGAAAATGATTACTTCGGTTCAACGGTGCGGCGAGCAAAAACAAGGCCTCTGAACCCCTGCGAGCAAAACCCGAGCCAGGGGTTTCAAAAAGGTCTGACCGAAGCTAGTGCTGCTTGGGGCCCAAATCGCAATATTTTTAACGATTGCCCAAAGCATACCTGCGAGGATTTGAGCCCTTTACTGTAGAATGGGAACACCCCTAACCCCCAGACCGCCAACCCAAACCCATCGACCAAACAAGATGTGCTTTTGCGGAAAGCGACTGTGAGAGTCTGATCCAGGTGCCCAAGGGTTGGTTTCTTGGGTTTCCCTAACCCAACCCAAAGAGAGGTTCCCGCAAGAAAAGGGACGCAGACAGTCGCATCTATTTTAATGGGGAACCCTATCAAAGTGCAGTGCGGACAGAAATTCATGGTGGCCATCACAGGCTTCCTTATTAAAATCAAGACCAAATGGGTATGGATCTAAATTGAGGTCCCTTTAGTGGACATCGTTGAGGTGGGGAAGAAAGTCGTTCCCTAATCGCTTGTTGGGTGGTTTTACACGAAAACACCAAACACCACCCGCAATTCATCGGAGGCTACAGTCATCATGACACCTACCCAGCTGAACCCCAGCTTTTTCATGACATCCACCCAACCACACCACCCACCCACGGGGCATGCCAAGCTGAGCCACAATCAAAACCCGGGGATTGATGAAGGTTACTAAGGGCCAACCCCAACCATAATTAGCTGCGGTCGGCTTCTTAATTCTTGAAGCACGGTTCTGGGTCGACCATTTTAATACCGGGTTTTGATCATGACTCATGTTGCTATGTAACCGCCAGTTGGCCAGTGAACCCTTTCACAACTGGGGGCCTTTCACGGATGGATCAACCACATAGCCCACTATATGGGAGAAGTTACCTATCACCATGGATCAACCACCGACTTTGGGCTGCGGCCATAGGCCTGGCGGCCGCGGCTGCTGGCTTCGGGCTGCATCTCGTGTGGCTGGCGCGCTTCGCGCTGGCGCTGCCCTTTTTGGTGGCCTGCTGCCAGATGAGGCACCCAGGCGCGCGCCGAGGGGTTCGCAAAAGCACGCGAGACGGTGCGAAATGCCAGGGGCTGGGAGGGGGGTCAAAGCAACCATGTGCCCCTGTTGTGTATATATTTGTATATATGCATGTATGTATGTAATGTAATGTGATGTGATGTGATGTGATGTATTGTAATGTAATGTAATGTATGAGTATGTAATGCAATGTAATGTAATGTAATGTAATGCAATGCAATGCAATGCAATGTAATGTAATGTATGTATGTATGTATGTCATGTAATGTAATGTAATGTAATGTAATGCAATGCAATGCAATGCAATGTAATGTAATGTAATGTAATGTAATGTATGTATGTATGTAGTGTATGTATGTATGTATGTATGTGTATGTATGTAATGTATGTAATGCAAATGTATGTATGTATGTATGTATGTATGTATGTATGTATGTATGTATGTATGTATGTAATGTATGTATGTATGTATGTATGTATGTAATGTAATGTAATGTAATGTAATGTATGTATGTATGTATGTAATGTATGTATGTATGTATGTATGTATGTATGTATGTATGTATGTATGTATGTACATAATGTATGTATGTACATAATGTATGTATGTATGTATGTATGTATGTATGTATGTAATGTATGTATGTAATACGTGTAATACGTATGTAATGTAATGTAATGTAATGTAATGTAATGTAATGTAATGTAATGTAATGTAATGTAATGTAATGTAATGTAATGTAATGTAATGTGTGTAATGTAATGTAATGTAATGTAATGTAATGTAATGTAATGTAATGTAATGCATGTATGTATGTATGTAATGTATGTATGTATGTATGTATGTATGTATGTATGTATGTATGTATGTATGTATGTATGTATGTATGTATGTATGTATGTATGTATGTATAATGTATGTATGTATGTATGTATGTATGTATGTATGTATGTATGTATGTAATGTATGTATGTATGTATGTATGTATGTATGTATGTATGTATGTATGTATGTATGTATGTATGTATGTATGTAATGTATGTATGTATGTATGTATGTATGTATGTATGTAATGTATGCATGTATGTATGTATGTATGTATGTATGTATGTATGTATGTATGTTATGTATGTATGTATGTATGTACGTATGTTGTATGTATATGTGTATGTATGTATGTATGTATGTATGTATGTATGTATGTATGTAATGTATGTATGTATGTATGTATGTATGTATGTATGTATGTATGTATGTATGTATGTATGTATGTATGTATGTATGTATGTATGTATGTATGTATGTATGTATGTAATTGTATGTATGTAATTGTATGTATGTAATTGTATGTATGTAATTGTATGTATGTAATTGTATGTATGTATGTATGTATGTATGGTATGTAATGTATGTATGTATGTATGTATGTATGTATGTATGTATGTATGTATGTAATGTATGTATGTATGTATGGATGGATGTATGTATGTATGTATGTAATGTATGTATGTATGTATGTATGTATGTATGTAATGTATGTATGTATGTATGTATGTATGTAATGTATGTATGTATGTATGTATGTATGTATGTATGTATGTATGTATGTACTGTATGTATGTATGTATGTATGTATGTATGTATGTATGTATGTATGTATGTATGTATGTATGTATGTATGTATGTATGTAATGTATGTAATGTATGTAATGTATGTAATGTATGTAATGTATGTAATGTATGTAATGTATGTAATGTATGTATGTAATGTATGTATGTAATGTAATGTAATGTAATGTAATGTAATGTAATGTAATGTAATGTAATGTAATGTATTG